AAAGTCACAGGTACCTCCTGTTCCTTCTCGTTCGCCAAAAGTCGGCGAGCAAGAGGGTTCCCTGTTTTGCTCCTCCGGTTGTGTTTTTGTTGTGGTTCAACCACAACCTATGAGTAGTTGTAGGCCCCATGAGCCGAAAGAACAACTGAATCCCTGAAGGCCAGTGCAGCTTGGGAAATCAGAGGCGCCTGCTAACGAGACTGGCTAAAATTCCATTGGGAGGCAAGCCCAAACTGGCCATGACACCGTGACGCGGCCCTCAAACCAGGTGGAGGTGTTCCAGTGGAGCCGCACCTCCCAGAGCCGCCCCCCCACCGTCCAGCAGGCCATGAGCATCTGATGCGCCCAGCTCGCGTACCTCAGAAGCACTGTGTGGGTGTCAAAATGCTAGGGGGCCTCGTGTCTTCTGTTTGGTTTCTTTTAACCTCCACTTGCTGAAGTCCCCAGGAAAAACACACTTCTGTCCAGTAGTGATTGATTCCCTACTAAGCCAACAGGGGAAATTATATTTGTATTCAAGTGATGCAAGTGGAAGTAAAGGGCACCCTCAAAACAACACGCCTGGCATCTTCGTAGATGGTTGAAGATGCAAGGGTGCAAGGGTCAACTTGTCGATTTTAGCAATCCGCCAGGACCTCTCTGGAGTCATAGGTGCAGGACCTTTTGCCACCTCTTTGGGTCAAGAGGGGTCCAATTAGAAAGGATGTAGTTACCTTGTTGGTTGGTTGACCGTGGCCGATGGTTGATGGCTCTTCACTCACATCGATGGCCTAACTTGCGACCGACCGACCAAGAAATACAAGGTTACACGTTCAAGCACCCAAGCAGTCTACCAGTCGTCACTGCGAGCAAGGCGACTGAAAAACCATTGGTCATAGTAGAAAAAGGGCTTGCCCGTTTGTGGTTGAAAGCTGTTCCAGGGAAGTGAACAAAAATGATTGAACACAAACACACACACACACACACACACACACACACACACACACACACACACACACACACACACACACACACACACACACACACACACACACACACACACACACACACACACACACACACACACACACACACACACACACACACACGCGTGCTAGGTCCAGTGCAAGCTAACAATTGAAGTGTCGAAAGGCACATAGACTGGCCAGCGCCCAATCGGGACAAGGGGACTGCTCTTTCTGCTTCGGATGTAGAATGACGCTGCCATTTGAAGGACCCCCAGAGTTACCATCAAGGGCGACAAGCGACATACAACTCCTTTATTTGCCTCAAGCTGGAAGTGAAAGGTTACCTCCCAGGTACAAATGTAGCTCGAAAGTGCAAATCTTGAAGCCCTGCGAATTCGAAACTGAGAGAACATTTCAATGGGGGCCGGGCGTGGAACCCAAGCTCTGCCCTCAAACTATTGCTCAAGTTTCATTGTCCCTGCTCACTCGCGACATTCCCTGGAAATCATGCCATCCCCCTCGCCATGCATTAGTGTCCTTGTGCAGTCAGGGGAAAGGAAGATGAGCAAGGGGCCGGCACCTTTGGATTGTCACCGCTCAAAGGAAGTGGCACCAACTCAGGAAAGATGCTTCTTGAGCTGGATGATGTAGGGATCTCCCTCCTCGGCTGAGAAGTGCTCGTCACCCCCTCCCGCGCCAATGATGCTCAAACCATACTCGAAGCAAAGCGCTCGGCAAACATGCTTCAGCGGACCCGTAAAACCCAAAAGCACAAGACCCTAATCTGGTGCTGCCTCGAGCTGCCCAAATACAAGTCGTAGCCAAAGTTTCTCTCAAGGAGGGTTTTCAGGTATCTCATATCTCCAGTTAGGCTTTGCCTATCACAAGACAACCAATACAAAACCACTCGCAGTCGCATGGCACGATTCAGCCACTGCAGTGAAAAGAGAAAGGCATTCCCAGTCTAGTCTCACGGAAAATGAATCATTCATGACGTTTTGCGGGTGAATGCCCATTGTTGTCCCAACGCTGAAATCCAGAGCCACTACGGAGCCAAATTGGGGTGTGGTTTCTGTTTGCTTCTTCCCTTGGCAACAACCCCACAAACAATAGTGGCCCACCCAGTCGCCCAGTGACCCTGGTAGCAAAATCATTGGAACCCAATTTGGGGCTCCTTGCGAGCCCGAAAGGGGGGGGCGGCGGGTTTCTCCACTTAAATTCGTCCGAAGGCGCCATCTCGAAGAAGTCCAGGATGAGTTTGGGGATCTGCTCCCCCCGGGCAACTTTGAAGGGAAAGGCCGTGTACTCCATGAAATCCTCGAGGAAAACAGGGGCCGAGGTCAACCCCCCAGCGACCCCAAGAGTATAGCAAAGGCTGAGCTGTGCCGACCCATAAGTGAACCAATGGTCCTAAGCTCCGTAGCCTCACTGGTCTGATTCACCTATTGCGCTGCAAATAGAAACAACTGGATTCATTCATTTTAAAACTCTGAAAATTCTTGCTGTACCTGTCTGACCTCCCTTGCGTGGAAGCACGTTGGAGCATGCTTTCTTGCTAATGGGACCTTCCAGCAGAATATGGAACAAAAGCGACATGTTGATCATGTGTCTACAAGCTTCACATTGACCGGAAAGACTTACATGTTCGACAGCTTCGAGGTGATTTGCATCTTGGTGAAAGTATACCATAGTGTGGTACATCATATCACAACAAGATTGTTGGAGGACATGACTACAGCTTTTGTTTTTGTCGTTCTGGGATTCGGTGGTTTCCAGATGGAACTGCCATGTCTCCAGCACATGGTGCCACAGCAAACCTGACCTGTGGCTCTAGTGGTTGCCCTTAGCGGGTGTGTTCACCTATTCTGACACAATTGCCTGGGGCGCAGAAACAGCATGGAGGATACTAGTTGAAATGTAGTCGTTACAAAGAATGCTAGCGTGCCTGATTCAAGCTTGGAATTACCAGGAGGACCATACTTAACCGACCAATCCCCCTGACATGCGCGAAGTACCCACTCAAATTTACATATCGCGGACTCGTATGATGCTCCGGATTCATCCGAAGTTAACAGTAATACAAACCATTAACCATAAACAATCACACAGCTTTGCAATTCCAAATGAACCGAATGTCTCGCAGTTCCTGCCTGCAATGTCAGGTTCAGGATGTGGCTCTTCCCAGGAATCCAACATCTGTGAGAATGATGGAACCTTGCCAGTATTCCAACCAAGTTCCAAAATTCGATTGCTTGTCTGTCCAATTGCTTCCAATTGCGCATCTCCCTCCCAGTTGTCCAGTGATGCAGAAAAACAATAGGACCCTGGGTCAACTAACGTCGGTACTTGATTTTGAAAGGCCCCCCCAACAATAAATGAGTTGAATTCATTAGAACCCCCGAACGTCATTGGTTCCATGGAGTTCGTTGGAATTCCATGTGAAAATGGGCGAGAGGGTATTCCCAAGAAGAACGAATCAAGGGAAAATACGGGCCGACCAACTCAATCTGAAGGAACTGAGGAAGATATGGGCAGACCCACTCCGACGCACCTGAGGCCCACTGACCAACTCGTGAGCGTGAGACGGGCCGACCCACGCCGACCCACTCCGCGCGTGACCCACTCGGTGGCCTTCTGCCCGGCCAGAAACTCGCTGTCGCAGGTGGCCGCCGCCAGGGGCAGCCATGGCCATCGCATCGCCCGGCCCGAACGGAAACCCAAACCCTGGGGAGTGGTGGCGTTGTTGTTTTGTTTTGGGTAGCCTTGTTGTTGTCTTTTTACGGCCCGTTCTTCGAGAACAACGAGCAAGGTTGTTATCGTTTTGGGCTTGTTGTTCGAAACAAAACCACAAAAAGGAAACCAACAGGTTTTGGGACCCACGATGTTGTTTGGGAACGACAGCCCAAAAAGGAGGGTTCTGTCCGGAAATGGGGAGTCTTTTACGGGGGGTGTTCGGTGCTTTCTGCCAACTTGTCAGGGCGTCACTGAAACGAGCACCTGGTGGCATGCCCAGTTCGAGTGCCGTTCCATTCATTTCCTGAAGCCTGGCAGCTGGTCGGAAGAATCTGGGCACTGCCAATCCTCAACTCTCGAGATAAAGCTCTAAGTGGAATGCGCAAAAGAGAACAAGCAAGGCGAAGGGCTGAGGAATCTGGTCAACCAATGTCCGTCGACACTGCCCTATGTAGATCACATGCCTGCATTCTGCGAAAGCCAAGCGCCCAACACACTCATGGAATGAACGACCGCACAACCGCAACCCTTAGAATGAGCAGTAACAACCAAATGCTTGAATGGACTCCTCTGTGCCTAACTGACCCGCCCCTGATACTCCCGACTGAAAACTCAGCGGGCGCAGGAAGGATGTTGTCCGGGGGCCAAAAGGCAACAGTAACTGCCCGTGGACTGTCCTTGGGGCCTGTCTGGCCTTCCTCGCGCGCGCAGAACTGAAGGTGTGCAGAGTTCCGTTCAACCAACGCACCAAAGGCAGCGTTTACAACTTCCTACCTTTCCAGACGGTTGGCGCCACCCGCCCGAACCGCGAGGACTCCCCTAGTTTGCAGTGCATGCCTTTGAGGAGAAATGGAGGAACGCCGGCTGCTCGACCACAGAATTGTGAACAAGCCCATCCAAAACGAACTAAATCGCTCCTTTATACATCCCTGATGGAAGCTTGTGTCTTTCGAACACCTCGAGAAATAGGTTCAGCATCACCCAGGGCGACATGAATAGGACAGCCTACGAAACATGGCAGGCCCGAAACCACCTAAAACCAGAACGGGGACACCTGCAAGCCACAAAAACATGCGCTTTTGAGTGTCTTTCGAATCATGGACCAACTTGGGCCCCACCGTCATTTCTAGGTATGTTAGTACCCATTTGCCCGACACCGAGATTTACGCTTCTACAAGTTGACCCTTGGTATGGACCCACCTCACCTTCCCATTTCCCGACATGGACAATCCCTCCCCGCACTTTCCCGGGTTTTGGGGACCTTTCTCAGGTTGGCTAGACGGCCAGACGGCCAGACGGCCAGACAAACCGAGTCCCGACCTCCGCTGGGTAGGCGAACTCGTCGAAGGAGATCTCCCCGGAGGCGTCAGAGTCCAACTCCTCTCGGTCCGTCGCCCCAAAAGGGACACAGCGGGTGAGGCGTTCCGGGGCCACCAATGGAAAAGTTGCGGGTCAAATGGCTCCAAAAGTGGGGGTGAATGAAAAAGGTCAAAAGGGTTGTGGAAGGTCAAAAGGGTTGGGGAAGGGATCCAAGAGCGATGGCAACGCTCGAACGGATGACAAGCTCCAACGGCAATACAACTTGAGGGCATCGTTCGCAACAAGAGTCCTAAATGGTAACTCTCAATGGCCCAATGGAAATTGGAAACGCCGGCTTGCTTGTTGGCGATTGGGATGCTCCTTGAAGTGAAACAAATAGGTGATTGTATCCAATCTAACAGAACTCGATACGCATCCGATACGGGGCTCGGCACCTGCTTGGTGGATGAGACTTCCACGCCTCCTGGAGCCTCCATTGCTACCTTAATTTTTGCTATGACATATTTTTGCTCGTGACACTTTCTTCTCAAAAAAAACGCTCGTTTTAACAGAAAGTGCTCGAGACATCCGCGCAAATGCAATTTGTTACCTGCGATTCGTAGCATTTTTTGAATTTGCGCTCGTTTGCGCTTTTTGCGCCGATTTGCGCTTGTGCGCCCGTTTTGGCGGCAACTTGACCACGGGGAAGAAGAAAACACGGCCGAATGGGACTTTTGCCCGAATCGTCAAAAAGCGCTCGGAAGCGAATGGGAGGCAAAAGGTGCTACGTCGAGTCAATTTTGGTATCGAACAAGGGGGGAGGCAGAAATTTATGCTACGATGGAGGTTCCAGGCTGGGTGACAAAAACGTCGCCTCAAAACATAATTCAAGCAGCCGTGACATAGTGATGAGTGCTCCAGGCCTTGGATGGTCGAATTCATTTCGTGCAATCCTTGAGCGATATCACCATACCTCGTCTTTCGTCCATTGACTTGCCCACTGCAGTGACAAACTCCGGTGACCATGGATTCCAGTTCAAGCTTGAAGCCAGGGTCCTGCCCCCGCCTGCCAGCTACAATGAGAGACTACATACCCCCATTTAGCTCAGGGATCTGGGGAGTGGCTCACGCGCCGATCAGAAACTCAAGCGCAATATCAAGAAAGGGAAAAATGTCTAGGGGTTCAGGCATGGGGCATCACATACTGCCCGGGTTTCAGGAGGCTGAGAGGGCCTCTTCCAAAACATGTATGTACAGCTCCGCTCTGCGGGATGCTTTGGAACAGGCAATGAACTGAACTCCTCGAACAGCCATTGACATGCAGGTGCTGCCAACACTTTTATGAGCTCGACCGTTGCTTACAAACATTGTAAACCGAATCATGGCCGACCTCAGCAAAGAATCACGCCTTGCTAAGTAGCATTTTCTCGAAAGTATCATTGAACGGAAGCCCTGGTTCCTATATGTCTTTGTTGGGCAGAATCCGATCATTTGGTAGGACACGCCGCGAAGAATTTATGTCAACATCCCCAACATCGATTTCCAGGTGATTTAGACAAGGGGCACTAATTACATCTGCAACTAGCAAGCAAAACAAAGGAGGCGCGGCAAGTCGAAACAAACCGAATATTGGCATCACAAGGAGTCTAAATGGGAGCCTAGCACTTGAGACCCACTAAAGTTTAACAGGCCCAGAATTTGGGCGGAGTGCATCTATCTCAGGGGTTTCCAAAACAGGTCCGGAAAGACCGTCATTTCTCACTCACAGGGATGAAAATCAAAGCAGGGCTGAGACTCAAAGTCTCACTTTTTGGGGCCATCACTAACGAGTAGTCAAGTCATTGTAGAACTGAGCTAATCTTGCTCGGCCGCGACCACTCGCGCCCCTTGTCGCATCCTGCCAAAGCTTGAGCGTGTCCTCCTTGCTGCCTGTGAACTTCATATCCTGCGGCGTTCAAAGTCCCTGGACCTTCGTACTTCTGATGTTTCCCCCCCCCCCCGGTTTCCCGCGAAGTTCAAGAGCCCAAAATGATATGGAGGACTAACCCGGGTGGTTCCCTGCATCTTCACGAAACACATCCGCTCTGCAACTGCTTTCGAGTGGAACCCGGCCGCATGTGAGCAAGGGCACTGTGCCGGCTCCCAAGCCTACAAAAAGTTCATCTAATGATGGCGCCTCTTGATTGCACATGACAATCAGGGCCCTTTCGAGGGACGTCTTCAAGCTCCCAAAATGGGAGCTTACCATGTTCTCAACCCGCGCGTGCGAGAAGGATCGAACCCCCAACGACAGCACCAACGTGGCCCAACCAAAGTGCAGAAGGCAAAGTTGGCTCATTGGTTGCCACGAATGTCATTCTGATTTGTTCATGCAAAAATGGTACTCCTATCCCAGCCGGTGTGGCGAACTTTTCCTTTTGGCTTGGGCGTGCAGTCAACTGGGGCAAGACTGGCCTCAGGTTCTTTTGCAGTTTCCTATGTTTCCCAGTTGGCAACTCCAAACAGGGATGGTAACTGCCAACGCGAATCCCGCTCGCAGAATGGGTGGGGTCCAATGGTTTAGATAATGCCCCGAGATTGTCCTTCGTGACCTAGATGTTGGTCGTAATTAGGTTGCTATTGCTCCCCTTGCTGCCGAAACGGCAAAGCAAGTTGTGGGCGATAGGGAAACGAACCGAGCAACTCCTTGAGGCCTTTGTCAAACTCCTTGTAGTCGATACCTTGCACTGCGCCCCACCCACGCAACCTCGCCTCGCCTGCCCTAGCTTAAGCTTGGTGGCCTTTGCAGCGGCATACCTTACGGAAAATAAATTAGGGCTAACGGGCACACTCCAATATAGCAAACCATATTCATCCTCGTTCTCAGATGATAATCGCAGTTACCAGCCAAATTTCAGCCATGATCAGCAGGCAAAGCAACGTTATCGGGCTGGGCAATCAAAAGCTGCGGCAGCCCTTCAGGATGTCAGGGCATATGCTACACTCCCGTCCACATGGGAACGAAAAGGGGGGGGGGCCTGGTTCGGGACACGCTCCCTTTAGAGGACTCATCTGGTGGGTGGTTCCATGTTAGTGGACGGGAGGGTCTTCATGATTGTTTGATGAACTACTCCTGGGTTGCCAGAGTATGCGAAGTTGAGTGGCTGCCCCTACTCAGTCCACAAAAACATCCACCCCATTGACTTGCACAAAAGGCCAACACATAACAGCTGTTCACCTTTGGGTTGCAACTTAGCTTGGACCACTGGTAGAATCCACAAGTGAAAAGGCGATCAAAGGCTATCCTAGATCAAGAAATCCTTTGTCAATCTGCCATAGCTGTCCCTTCCAAACCCCAAACCCCAGGCAGCGTTCTGACTGGTTTCCTGCAGATTTATGGAAGAATTAACTAGATGTGGAGAGCTCCAGCATACTTGAGGAAGTCGGGCCTGAGGTTGACTGGACTCAAACAACGTTTATCCAATTCTTGGGGCCTGGTGAAGCAAAAGCTTCAACGGAATCTCCATAACCCTTCAAAAATGGCATCGTTACAGCCACCAACAAACAGCCCGGGGTCATGGCCCCATGTTTCAGGGGCCATGATGACTCTAAATACTGGAGCTACACCAACGCTTCGAGTGTGCTACAGGCACCTGGTCAAGGCCCTTGGGCTCCCGGCGGCCGCTCTGATCCTTGTCTAAGTAGAAGTACCAGGCCCTCAGCACGCTGGAGCAACCCGCTTGGTAGGCGATCTCGTGCCTCAGGTTCCGCGCAATCCCAGGGCGCACAGCCACAGAATAGGATAAAACAAGCAACCGTTGATGGGATGGCTGCGGAAGGAAACAAAAGCAACCGGTCAATTCCGTAAAAAGACACCTAATGCAGGCGCAAATGAGGGGTTCCCTCTACAGGGACTCCTACCATTGAAAAATAGCCGTATTTTAGCCTTGGCGAAAGCCCCGAGCTGCTGGGATCTGGAAACCCGCGTGTGAGTTGTTCGAAACTATTTATTTAGGGCCAGCTCTTGGTATGATTTTTGGGGGTGCAAGACCCGCAGCCCAAGAAATGGCGCAAGGCTCTGCGTCGCAACGTCTCAGCAGTGCCCAACCCATTCAGTGGTCCAACGTCCCCACCCTGAGATGAAGCGGGCACGGGAACCCAGAACAAAGCACACATAGAACTGCTGCTTGCTCCAACCAACCAACGGCTGGCTACGAATTGCAATGCTCAAAACGGCGAAGCCAATTCATGAACCCTTCCAAACATTGCAGCTCCCATGCAAAAAGGGGCGTGCAAAAGGGTTGCGAGGCAAATGGTTTCTCAAGCAACTAGGTTTCCATCGGCCACGTGGTGCCAATCTTGGGGTCGATCAGCAAAAAACTAAGTGGCGCACGAAAGCTTCTTCAGCGCCCATGTGTTCCAACCACTTTGCGCCAGATGGCTCCCCGTTGGTCATAGCATCCTTTCTTCCGCCCTCTCAGTCATTGGACTGACTCTTGTGAGACCATTGTTGTTGAATCAAGAAACAACCAGGCTGGACTCTCGGGCCAATCCTGTCAAGTCATCATTCCCTCCCCCCCTCCCCCCTGACACTGCGCTGAACCACGCCAGGGCGCAGCTGTTCTACCGCGCTCTTCTTTGGCAAGCCCGCCTGGCGACGTCAGCGATGCCATCTGGAAGCGATGAGTGTCTTTAAACCCCTGCACCACAGGTGTTCCGCGTTGGGTATGCAAAAGAAGCGCGCGCGCACACACACGCACACACACACACACACATAGACACTCGCTTTGGCGGAAAAGGGGTCAAGGCTCGACCACCGAGCAAACAAGGTTTCGAAAACAGGCTTGCTTGGGGTGAATATGGTCCTCAATGCAATGCTCCACGTCCACTCGCACGACAATTAGGTCACCAGACTGTGGCACTAAACGCTCGCGAGGTAAAGCAGGAAATCATGGAATGCCGCTTGGCTGCAAAGAGCAAAGGCATGGCTGGTATGCACCTGCTGGTGAAAACACAGATTTGGACCCGTTTGGCTTCCATTAAGAAGCCATCCAAAAGGGTCCCATGTAGGACACACTGCCAGCACCATAGATTAGCGCATGTGAAGAAATGTTTGACGCCCCCAACTGAAAGCAGCAGACCCGTTCTAGTAGCGCAGGTTCATGAACCCAATGGCTTGCTATCCGAAATCCATGGCAAAAATGAGATTGGCGCTAAAGGCTTTAGGCAATCATGCGCCAGTCCGGCTGCATGCACCACCTGCTCTGACAAACCAAGCATGAAAGCGTCCCAACCAACCGACCAACCAACCGACCAACCAACCAGCAAGCTTTGCAGCCAGCCAGCCAACTGACCAAATCCATCGATCGAAAGCGGAAATGGATATAACGCACTTTTCCTATGCCCCATGTTTAGGGTCCTTTTACCTGGAGACACCGGGGGGCACCCGAAACAAACAAGTATGGAATCGAGAGTCCTCTCAGGGAGACACATTCAAAAAGTCTGAAGTCCTCCGGGTTCCTACTCGGTACCTGAACATTTCCCTACGAGGCTGGGATGCCAAGGGTTGCCCCGCGGATCTTCAGAAACTTCCACATGGTTCCCTACATGTCCGCTTTAAGCATCGCCTTGCCAAAAGGCTGCTCGATTAAAAAACACATTGACCCAGATTGTTAGACAGGCAGGGGTACCGGAATCTTGGCTGGACATAAGCCGTGATCCCCACACATCCGTACTGCAAGCTTGTTGCGGCTTGCCTCCCCCCTTGGTTGCCCATACGCATTCCATTGTTTTGCCTCCCGTTCCAAATGCAACACGTACCCTACATCCCCAATACATCTACCTTGTTCAAGCAAGACCTCAGCTTTTGCTAGCTTCAAGATGCATCTCCCTACAGATTAACATGGAATCCCCAAAGCAACCGTTTGTAGAGGAAACTCCTGTTGGGAATCGGACCCCACCTTTTGTGTTCCATGTTCATTTGTAGGTAAGCAAAACAATATGGGACCATCCAACCAACCTGGAAACTCCACATACGCGTCACAGCCACCCCGCGCGGCCTGCACCGCCAGCGCTTCCAAGGTGGCCTTCGCCTGCTCGGCGACCGTCATGGATCGCCTTCTTGGCTCGGACCTGATGGCGAGTGCTCTACCTTCAGGATCAGGAGTCAAACATGGGGGTCCGAATGACAAGGTTGAGGTTTCAAATTTCCAAAACGGTGAAACCAAAGCAAAACTGGGCCCCATTTAGGTGGAGCCCAAGCATCTCTACAATCCCAAACGCCTACGTCAAAGAATAAATGTATCCAGAACCCCTGCTATGAACTCCAGATTATTCTTTGACTAACCATTGTGCCAACATGACCATGGGTTCAAAATAAGGGTCCACACAACCAGCCTTTGAATATGGGAGAAGCCGCTGAGCCCCCTGCTGTTACTTGGCATTGATTGACTCTCCTCGGGATCCTGACTATCTTAGTAAGGCTCTCAGGCCCAAACAAAAATCACGGGCGGCTTTCGGTATGCGCCTTGGAGGCATGTAACCTGTCCCAAATGTCCTCAATGCTAAGTCGCTCAGAGTTACCATTTGGCTGCCGTGCCCCCATTGCTATACCACCCCTGCCCGAATCAAGCAAAACATAAACACATGCAATTTATGTGTGTTGTTCATCTGTGTCTCTTCGCCTCCTATACCTGAAAATGCCATTAAACAAAAAAGAAACTACTAACACCCACACATCAAGCCGGAGCAGAGTGCCCATGTTCAATACTCGAGATCCATTGCGAATTCACATGGGCACTGCGCTGGTCCAAAGAAGCTCAGCAAAAAAGACGGCACATTTGAGCAACAAACTCAGGGCACATTTCAGAAGCTGACAGGGAGGTCAAAGCTAGATCCCTGGCAATGGTTTCACGCTGATCTCATTTCAAAGGGCCAAGGGGACTACAATCTTCCTGAATGTACCTTTGGCTGCTTAAGTTCACAGGTTCATGCCAGGGAATCTTGCTGGCCCCGTGTACTCATCGGCTAGCAGTGGCATGTTGGCTTGCATTCGTTGGGGCCTCCATCAAACCCCATGTTGTGATTCAGGTTTGGGAAGCTACAGCAAAAAAGGTTCCGCATGGAATGTGCTTCGATCCTGCACAAGACTACAGCCTGCCTCAAACTGCATTCCTGCTTGCACAAGGACTGTGAGACGATTGAACCATCCAACGGCAGCTACCTGAGGCTGCTATCCCAAACATGCTCGTTCGAATCAATAACTGCCCACCCTGCTTGCCGAGCAACGTCCGCCGTCCCTAGCGGGAGGAAACTCAGATTCTAAATGGGACACCAAGATTGAAGGGATACTTTGCGCCTCGCCGTTACCAGTGCGGTCCACTGTGGTTGCACGGAAATTTGTGAGCGCAAGCGCTAAAAACATGGACCAACCAGCAGTTTGAAAGCCCGATTCGCTCTGAACCCTTCTGTTGGCAATCCGCTTCCCAATGACAGAGTCAGGTGGTTTCCGGGAGCCAACCAACATTGCCACAAGCATGGTGTGGCTGAAGTGAAGGTTGCTTGCTGGGAACAGCAGCTGTGTGTGCGTATCGCACGCTCGCTTGCAGTAAGGAGTTGGCGGCCAAGGAAGCAACAAGTTCCACATTTGGTTGGCTGAGTGAGGTTTGGGGTTCTCTGGAAAGAAGATGGCGTCGCTTCGGTTTCCCAAGGCAATGCCAAAAAGGGTCCCCTCAGAGAAGGCACCCCATACGTCTGAACAGTGACAGGCAGGAAAGGAAAGAGAAAGGACATCCTGGCAAATGAACCAAGCAAGCCAGGCAAAAGAGGCGGCCGATGGAACAGGATGATGCAAGGTTGCATAGGGTGCAAGACGCTTTGGTCGCTTCCATTTCTCCTCCCTGAGCCTTGGGCCACCATAACTGAAAGTGGCAACCTCCAAAGTCGCAGATCGAAAGGTGACATCACATGTGACATCTTGTCGATTCGCGGTGGGTAGACGAGTTGCAAATAGGTAGTCCGGAAATCAATTATCAGTTTTTGCAGTTTGCTGTGCCCTGCAACACAAAAACACAGGTAACATCATATTCCTGGGACTCGCTTCAAAAGAGGCTTACCACCATGCCCGACACGAATTTGCCGTTTGGATTTGGAGGAGGAGCAACGTGGAGAAAGTGACTCACGGAACTTCCACACACCTCTCAGCATCTCAACCTATAACGTCGATCCCAGATTTTTCAGAGCGGACAAATCGTAGCGCGGATGTTACCCTTGAAGGTCAAGGATACCGTCCAAAAGGGAACGCACCCTCAACCAGGGGTATCCGAGGTTTTCATTTCTGATTCAATGTCATCGCCCTGCCTCGGGCATGGCCCATGCAGGGCTGTCCTCCTTGGGAGGCCAACCTGCGAGCATTCGGAAGGACTTATGGTATGGGATCCCAACCCTTTCAAAATACTCTTCTTCTGCTGGTATCCCTAGGAGGGCGGGGGGCCCATGAGCCTCAGAACTGAATCGTGTTTCAGCCTCGTCGCCCCTGGGCCTACACCTTGCAAACTGCCTAACCACAAGAGCTCTCGTGCATAACTGCAACACAATATATCCCAACAAAACAACATGTGGAAGCAGGTCTATGAAAACTCCTTCAACAAATCGCATGCAAATTATGATTCTGTGCTTGTGCGGGGACTTGTCCGCGCACAAGCTTTGGCAAACTGCCGAAAGCATGATTGGACCTAGGCCCTGTTTAAACTGTTGTGCTTAGACAAACATCAATTATCATTGTGGTTTCTTGCTAAAGGAAGTATACTGTAAATAAGCACCTTTTGTTTGGCATCCAAAAGCGAAAAACACCTATAGTCAACCAGTGGCTTCCAGCGCATCGTGCAGCCGAACTCTACCAACGCCAGCGAGCCTGTCACAGCTCCCACGTCCGTGGCTCTAAAGCTCCATGTTAGAGCTTGAGCAGCAGAACGGCCAAGCAGCCGAAGCAAACCAATGGCTTCAAGCGCCACTTCGTGCACTGCGCACTCCGTTTGAAGTAACTTGGCCCGATTCGGATTCCGCGTTGCCAAGTTGGCAGCCAGGCGTGTGTTGCCATAACCTCTGGCCTAGGCCAAGCACGTGCAGCGCCAAAGCCTTGGTGTACCTTTGGGGGGGATATCCCGCAAGCTCAATTTAAGTGCGAAACATGGATGATGGTTTGCAGTCCAAGCGCAGAGCTGCATAACGCAACAGGCTGAGGACTGATTCAAAGAGAGGCAAACGTCAACCAGGAATGCCATCTTGGAAAACAAATGTTCCCAAAAAACCTAGCGTTTCACTGTAGAGCCGACCAAAACATCCCCGCATGTCAAGCACAATCATCAATTCTGAACCCAAAGGTAAAACGTGACTGCCCGATCAACATAAATACCAAAAAGGTCGACTTTCGCCAGCAAAAAGGTCCTGGCATTCAACCCAACGAATTTCTCCTTATCCCAGAAATTGAGGAATCAAACATGTTTCTCCTTGTGGCCTTACTCAAGCTGAAAGAGCGGCCTCAACGCCGGCCGCAGATCATTGAGGCTTTTGCTTTTTGCCTTTTAGCCGATGCATCGTGCGTTGCGAGGCGGCAGCCAGCAGCCAGCCTGCGAAAGGTGGAGGATGAGTTCCCAGCGTTTTACCATTCCAAACCCTCGAATGCCCCTCCAAACCCCATCCCATCCCCAGCTTGTTGTCTTTCAAGAGGCTTCATTTTGTTGAAAGTCCGCACGTCCGACAAAACAAAAGCTTGGCCAACGTACTTTGATAGTGATGGTGCCAAAAACTCAAAAAAGACCCCGCGTGCCTCCCCCTCGTTCCGTGACCACGGCGTCACAGAGTACGATCAAATTTGGTTTGGAGTGATTAAATTGAAATCCAGGCTCAGTTCAATGCCAATTATAAGGCGGGTGCTCAGCTCAGTTCAGACGCGATGCTGGACCGCGCAAAAACATGTTTGCATAGATAAACCATCATGGTGCTCACAAAGCAACTGCCAAGCAGTTCACACCACATGGAGCAAAAGCGCATCAGGGTGCCTGACTGCCTTCCAATCAGAAAACTATCCCCTTCACAAGTCCGCCTGGGGGCCATCTCAAGTATGAAAGCTACTGGTAGGAGCCATCCAAAGGCCCCAAAAAAGGTTAGCAAGAAGGCGTCAAAACAATGCAAGAATCTATGGACAGTCGGCGGCACCTATTTTTGCATATGTTGGCTGCAGAAAGGGACGTTGTGGAGGCCTGCGTTTTTCAGTGATTGTAGTTTGTGCTGTTTTTTGAAGTTTTGTGTTTTCACGAGCAGACGTCTGTGGCCTTCACAAGTGTCCTCCCTTAATTTGTCGGCATAGACTCAAGAAACAAGAAGAAACAACCATGAAATGCAGTGTCTGTCGAACCCAAGGCACGTCTTGCATTCCTCATGTGTCGCATCAGAAGGCCGGGGGGGCGGGGGGAGGGGGGGAGAAAAAACAAAACGAAACAACTTGAACATGTCAAATCCGTTTTCCCCCCCTCCCCATAGACCCTCATAGTCAGGCCAGGATCACTAGGGCCCCAATTTGTAGGCCAGGATTTGGATCGCCTTTCGTTTGCCTTGCCCCTACCAGTCCCTAGCCCCAATTTGCAAAGTTCCAGGATGCCTTGTTTACTTTAAAATTTCCTTGAAGTTGCATGTGATTCAGTTGCTTAGATTTGAATTCAGTGGGCCACTGCATCATAGTAGCTTATACGCCTTTTACACTTAGCTAATGTTTGCTGCTTGAGCATTTGCATGACTAGCACCGTACTGACCCCGTTTGTGTGTAGTATTCTTATGGCTTGCCTTGTGCATCACACCCTCTATGGTAATTCAACCAGGTGGAATAGGATGGAATCTGTTTGTGTACGTGGCTTTGGCATACAGCTACATTTGCCATAGGCTAGGCCAATCTGCAGCAGTGTCATCAGGCTGCTAGCTTGCTATTGGTTAACGTAGACAGTTTAGCTAGCATCAGAAACGGATACTGTGTCTTTCTTGCAAAAAAACTAGTGTTTTTCACGTACCGCGATGTAGCTCAAAGCATTTCTGTGATCCATTGTTTCTTGTGTTTCTAAACAAGTTTTTTGGGGCTGACCATAGGCGGCCGACTGATCCGAAATTGTGTTGATGACCTATGGAAGGTGCAAATAGAATAAGTTATTCTCTTACCACCTCCCATACCATCTACCATCTATTGCATGCCACCAGCAAGCATAGGAGCTGGAGACCCCTATCTCTAATGATTCAGAAATTAATTTTGCCCACTTTCAGGTGGTCTGCCTTGCCACTCAGATTTCCGGATCTACTGGCAATATGATTAGTGATCTTCTCCTCCATTAGGGGGCAGAGCACCCTCCCCACATGATCTGCCAGCAATCCCATGGCCAATGGAAAGGCTCAATCTCCAAGCTCAGGTAGCAGCTTGGTAGCCTATCATTAGTATGTGCATTTCTTTCACAAGCACGCGGGGGAAGGAGCCTCATCACCACAACTGAGAAAGCCCCACTAACCTCTTGCAAGCTACAGGCATGCAAAGTGGATGCTGCGGTGGTTGGTCAGATCCATGATTGCTGGAACCAGCATCTTGCATTTCAACTTGGCACGCATGAAGCTCACAAAGGGTTGGTGGAATGAAGGCCTGTGCAAGTTGTGGTGATGAGAGTCCTTGCCCCACTTCCCTGTGAACAAAGTGCACCTACCGTAGGCTACCAAGCTGCTATCAGCTTGGGGAGAGAAGTTTATTTCGGCCTGGAAATGAGGGGGTTATCCCCACGTGCATTCATTCTGAAGCAACCACAGGCAGATCACCAGTCACATTGCCAGTAGAGAGAGGTGAGGCAGACCACCTGGCAAGTGGGCAACACTACTGTCTGCATCATTAGAGATAGGATATCTAGCTCCTATGCTTACTGGTGCCACAATCATGGCACGGGAGGTGGTAAGAGAATAACTTATTCTACTTGCACCTTCCATAGGTCATCAACCCAATTTCTGATCAGTAGATCTTATAGTCAAATCTAAACACAGTTTGTTTTTAGAGAAGCAAGAAAACAATGGAACGTAGAAATGCTTTGCCCTAGAAGAGAAACTTGTTTTTTGGAGCAAAAACACAACTTTCAGTGAAAAAAACCGGGCGTCCACTGCGTCCCACACTCTTTGGCTGGAAAGCGCCCCTCCCCGCCCCACCTCGCCAAAACACCAGTGCCCTTCCATTGCCCGCACATGCAAAGGAACCAGCCTTGGACCTTGGAAAAATTACAACTGGCCAACTGGCCAAGCAAAGGATGCCTCGTTCAATGTGTCCCTGCCACCTGCGCTGGAGCCTCGCCGCTTGTTTTGGCTTTGCCAGCAGCAATGTTCAGATCGAATGGAGGCCCGCAGAAGTAGGCAACAAAACAATCCATCACCACTCCTGTCAGGCCGGGCGCGGCGTCAGCCGGTCCAAGCGTGCAAGTGAAGTGCTAGCGGAGTGGAAGCGAAGAGCGGCGAGCCACTGGGCAATGCCTGAATAAGGATGCACAAACCGGGCCCCCCAAATGTTGCAACTTAACATGAGTCACCTGCTTGAAGGAAACATAAGGGAACTCATTCTAAACTTTCCCGGACTGCAATGCTCAAATCAAGCAATCGGAGAAACAAAGGGGACCCTCGAAACGGACCCCTGGACACATAGCACGCCTCTCCACATTCCCCTCCACCAACGAAGGCTCTTCGCCCTCGCCGGCCGGCATCGTCCAGCTTTTCTGGAGAAAACTCGGCCAAGGCTTCACCTCACGGATCGCCTTTCTTCCTGGGCGCGAAGGCGTGGCTTAACCCAAAGTGAGGGCTAAGCCGGCACCAAGAACATTTCTTGTTCTGGATGCAACTATGTCCATGAGGCTTCTCAACAGGTCACGAGAGCCAAACTGACAACAACGCAGTATGCAAAAGACGGCGCGCGACGCCGTGTGACGCCAACAGATTCTGTTCCGATTCACCCCTCAACACAACGGTTGTCACAACTACAACCACAACCCTTAACCCTTTCCCAACCGCGTAAAAGTTTGAAGACTTGGCCTTGAGCAAGTCAGTGAGGCAAGACGCTTGGTGAGGTTCACGGTCTCCCGCTTCAGCACGTGCAGCAGTGTCTGGGATGACTCCAGGATTTTCATGTAGGCAGCCTGGCCAGAGAAACGTTAGGGGCCCCAGGGAGGTCTATGGATTCATCTAGCTGTAATTCCTTGCCTTGCACATCTACAGCACGTCAATGAAGCATCATCACCACCATACACAGCAGCCAACGAGAGTTTCCTTCAGACGGTGTGAGCAAAATGAGCTCCTTGTTGGTCCTAGTTTTGCGGTGTCAGCTCCAAGCAGTCTATCCTGAACGCGCTGCAAAACGGCCAATCTGGGATTGGCTTCCGCATTCTTCCCGAGAATTGGCGGCATCTCCGGTCAAAGGGCAAAAATTTAAATGCATGACTGGCGGCCGCATGGTCTAGTGCACTGTGTGACTAGTTTATTTTTTGGAAAGCTGCGTTTGTGCACAAGCTGGAACAACAGGTACTGTACCATGAAAGAAATGACTTCAACCTGCAAATCCGAGCGTGGCTGCGCTATCATCATGATGTTTTCCAGGTTGTCATGATTTCAGGGCTTCTGTGTAGCGCGTAATGGTCCGTGGCCGTTGCATCATGATGATGCTGCCAAAATCATCATGTTGCTAAGTTCTAAGTTCATTAGGGGGCTGTTTGGGCTTATGATATATGCAGCCAAGATGGTGCGTGGCTGTGGTATCATCATGATACTGTCACAACCATCATGATGCTGCGGGATTCAGTAGCACACTGTCGGTGGCTGGTGGCTGTGGAATCAATGTGATCATTCTGAGTTTATTGGGACGTGGTCTGTGTATTTGTAACATAAAATTGTTTGTGGCTGTGGTATCATCAAGATGCTGCAAAAACCATCACGATGCCGCTGATTCATTCAGGCGCTGTCTGCGATCATACGTAGCCCAAAAGTTCTTAGGCTGCTGTTTGTGCTTCTGTATAGGGCATAACGGTTGATCGTTGCAGAGTCATCCTGCTTCCTGATTGGCGGAGTCGATTCGCTGCAGGAAAGCGAGCCGTTCCAGTCAAACCTCCCATGCTGGGCTCGCTCGTGAAATTTCAATTAGCTTGCGCGATGGCGTCCCTGGCTGACCCGCTGCGCAGAACGAGCTGCTGTTTGGGCCGTGTGGGCGTTCTCAATTGGGTGTCTGAAGAAAACAAAGCAATCCATAAGGAAACAAAACTATATCGATATGTGGCTCGCTTAAGGGACTATTTCATGATTGGTTGCGTGGACTTGTCCCCAAGCATGGGAACATGGATACTTTCCCTTTGGAAGTGCGCAACCCCCAAGCAGGGCACGGGCACCCTCAAACACTGCGGGGCGGGTCACGCCTCAGTCTCCTGGATGGTCTTGTCGTACTCGTTCCTTGCCTGTGCTCGCGCGTCGGGGCTTGTGGAGTTGCAACCCGTCAAAGCCCTCGGAGAACAACCACAGGCTGGTCGGCTGGTCCTATGGAACACCCAACCCAATCTCGCAGCCCCGAAACACATCAGGCCTGCGTCTTGCGCACCAAGCTCTCGTTGATCTTCTGCAGGCCTTCGGATTTGGGGCAGCACGCTGGGGAAGACCCCAGTGTCTCAGGTCTCAGCAATGAACATGGCTCAATTTACCTAACGTTGGAGGTATCGATAAATATACGTACCTTTCATGCAACAACGGCCCCACAATGCCCTACATGACACCACGGCCGTAACACAAGGTCAGTTCCATATCCCCCAGTAGTAGCCTAGACACTGCTAGTTGTGAATCCAACTTGTTAAGCTCAACTGCCAAGTCGCTGTTCGTTGACTCACTCAGGGTGTGTGCACTGGGACATCTGGTGACGTCAACGATGCGGGAATGAGATAAGAACCTAAGAAACGGTACCTTGTCAGAATTCGGCTTCCAGGAGTCCCTCATTAAGGTAGAATACACATTGTTCATTAACAGGAGATATGCTTCAGACTATCCTAAAATGGGCTTCCCAAGGGTGGCCATTTGCCGCATTTTTTCCGCTGAGGTAGCGGTTTGGGGGAAGGGGTAGCAAAGCCCCTTTTAGATTCTCTCAAATGATCCAAGCCATAGAGTTCGCACATCAAATTCAGAAGCAACCAAACTCTGAAGCAAAAGCAATGAACACGCTCTGCCACGCTTGCAACATGTTAGGGGTGTAACCAATCCTTCGCAAAGTGCAAATGGCTAGGAGAACGACATGCACAACCTGAACAGTGCCAAATGGACCCTGAGCCTTCTAACTTGTCTGGTTTCTGGAAATCGGGGCAGTGCCGCTAGAACCGGCTGCCATGAGCTGCCCAGGCATGTCAAATGAAGGCTTGAGAACCCGAAGTCAGAAACGAGCATAGGCCGTGTTGCAGGTGGCATTGCTCGCCATTTGGTCAAATGGCAGGATCCAAATGCAGCTTTCTGCAGGTTGCACTTCGAAACAGGCAAGATCAACCCACACACACCCAAGCAAGTCGACAACGGCAGTACATTTTGCAACACACAATCACGATGGGCAAACATGGGCAAACACCAGAGGGGACGCCTTGATTGTTTGCTTGTTTGCGGAACAAGCTATTCAACTAAAACACCCTTCTGAAGCAAATTGAAGTGCAGCTAGCGGGCAACATGCATCATGCGCATCTGCCCGGCCCTGAACATAAGCTTCCACTCAGAACTTCAACGAACCTGTCAAAGACCAAAGGAAAGCGTGCGAAGATCCTGCAAAGTCACGACCCGACTGCTGTCCAGGCACGGTCTGTGAGGATGGACAACTCCTTCTGGATTTTGGCTTTGTCCTCCTCTTCCTGCAGTCAAGTCTATGCCGCACGGCAAGTGCCTCGACCCTGTCAGGGAAGCAGTTTCTGACCTGCAATGGCACATACCCTCCGATGGACTATCAAGGAGCCTGACAGCGGGTGCTGCCACAACTCTCCAACTAACTAAAGGCTTGCCAACTGCCCTTTCGGTATGCCCCCCCCCTTGATTTGGAACCTTTGGAATGAGCGCGGCAGCGAGGGCTGCCGTCATGCGCCCCTGAGGGTGCGTGCAGCCCTACGGTAGCATGTATTACGTGGCCGTGTTCTAATCATACCCGTCCAAGGGCCTAAGGGTGTAGAGGTTATTATATGTTGCTTGAGCCAGTAGGGGTGTGCTCTCGCGCGGTCCTTGAGAGTTTCTCAGGGGTCCATCATCATATGGCCGCGCGTGGCCTTTTCATGGAAACAAAGCGGTGGGGAAATGATCAAGTTGAATCGAGGACCGCCCCCGACCCTCGCAAAGATCTATTCTGCCCAGGCCCCTCAAAGTTCCCAACAAAAGGCGGTGAAAGGGGCCCCCAAAGCAACTCACAAGCCAACAACTCATTTGGCACATGTGTTCAACTGTCTTTAGTACGTGAGGGGTTGGATTGGAGGCGGTCACTGCAACCGGCTTTGGCAAGACCCGTCTTGCAATCAATATGGCCAGAATTGGGTGTCATGAAGCGAGAATCCATCACGTGCAAGGACTCCTTCAAAAGGACGAGCATGCCCCAACATGTGACGACGTTTATACATGCAGATCCCTGATTTGTTTCATAAATCATTGCTTGGGGAAATCACGAAACTTAAACTGATGTTTGCCATGTTGAGAAGAGGATTGCAAAGAATGCAATAAATACTGGAACTTAATGGACCTGCAATTCAGCAAGCCAAGGCGAGTCACACTCAACCTACCAGTGGACCAAAGGGGCTACTCAACAACAACGAGAATCAACAGGGAGGCTCTCCGCCCCAATTTATGTAGATGGCAGCTCCTGACTGATGTTTGGGGGTGTCCGAAAAGTGACGCGGCTGGGTTCCCATTTACTTCATATATTCCGCGGGAGGCATGGAATTCAAAAGCATTTCATTTGTTTAAAGGAAAGCTGCTGTTGGGAGGGTACCTCTTTCTTGGGTTCGCTCGTGATGCCTAATTGAATTTCCAACCAAAGTGTTGAAAAACCATTCGGAGATGGGCCAACCAGCCAGGCCACATGTCAAATGAATTCGTTGATTTCATACCTGCCCCGTCCTTCAGGATCTGTCGATTCAGCTCCTCACGCTTCTCCCGAAGATCCTCCACGGACTTCACCAGCTCCTTGGATGTCGACTTGCCAAGGCGCTCTCCACAGGGCACGCTAACCACCCTAGGCATGGAACTGTGGGTCAACATGCTTTTTGGATGTTTCGCGCGCTGACTCAGAACATGTGTTGTTGTCTGTTTGTTGTTCATCATTATCCTTATGTTGTTATTGAAGAAGTTGCAAGCCCTTGAGAATCCCAAATTAGGGGCCTGACCTCCACTCCGACAGCGATGTTTGGAAACTTCTTTCTTCTGGGGGTACTTTCAAGCAGCCTTTGCAGCTACTGGGCATTTGGAGTTTCAAAAAATTTGGAGGTCGATGTCATGTCGAAAGGCCGGGATAGCACGGTGACCCTGGGAAAGTACGATGCTTCTGCAAACTCACCTGTGCAAAGAATCATGTGCTTTGCACCAAAATATCGGATGCGATCTCGGATTTTCTACTGAAGTTCTGGGGCAGCTCGTTCTCCTGCGCTAAACACAGGGCTTGGTTTTGCAGCTCGGAGCGGGCCCCGTCACACAAGGGCTACTTGTCCAGTGGGCTAACAGAAAGACTCACCTCGCTTTGACAGGCGTGTGTCCAAGAACAACCCTCCAAACCAGCACATGTTCCAGCACAGCACAGCCAAATGCCAGGACACGGCCTACTAACTCAACTGGTTTTCTGCAAACCACGGCAGATTATTTCGGCCCCTTACCAGTTAACATCTTATGGACTAGTTGATCATAGGCTCTCTTATGCTCTCTTGCGAACCAACTTCCTCATACCCAGAGTTGGTGGCTTCAATGATTCCGCGGGGGGCGAGGGTTGTTGAGCCCAGATTCTTTACAAATCAAATGAAAAGGGCCCACTCCTGCCAACCAACCCAAACCACCAATTCGGGATAAAGTGACAACAGTATTTTGCTTCTAAGGCTCGTTGTTGTAGTTCTGCAGCGTTGCGCCCTGGGAACTCATGCTGTCACCTGCCGATATATATCTCTCTCTCTCTCTCTGCGTCGGCCTTCCTGCAACTCTTCCACATGTCAGCCCCAAAGTGCCCGTGGCCAAATGGACCGGAAGCCAAGGGTCCGGACAAAGTTTGAAACATGTGCGCCACGCCGTATGATAAGAAAGGTTCTAGGAAGTTGTGGCTTGGCAGGCCCCTAACTTGCTCCAGGCCCTTTGCTTTCTTCCCGGCAATTGGACCAAGCCTTTGCCGACACCTGTCGAAGATCTGCTACTAGCATACATGGAAGTAACATGGCGGTTATATACTCCGTTTCCCTTCGGCAGTGACCGCAGTGACTAGGAAATGGACATCACCTTCGAACAAAGCGGGCCCCAGTCGTTTGAGCATGAGCCTCATCAGCCATCAGCCGGGGTGAAACAGACACTTGACGCGCCATTTGACGAGATTCAGAATTCTCACCTTCGCTTGCAGGAGACATAGGTGGTGTGAGGAAGGCCCCGCTTCATGTGAGTGAAACGTGAGGGACATTCAACACAACTAAGAAGTGTGACCTGGAACCTCCCAATTCACATATGTGTCTGGGGTGGGTGAAGCATGTAGCTTCACTCGACTCAAATATGGCAAGACATCGCCTGCAAAAGCTGGAAGAAGCTGAGGGGTAACCAGAGATTTTGCAAACCACGTAAGGCCCAAGGCAGCGAGGCCCAATCAGGCTCTTGATTTATTTTTGTGGCCAGAGATTGGGTCTCTACTTTTGAACGATGGAAGTCAACATCCTTGTTGCCTGAAGTGGTGAACTGCTTCCGCGTGGGCAAAGGTGCCCTTCACTTGTTGGTCAAACTTCCTAGGGTACCCCTTCGCCTTGTGCAAGTTCACATGGAACCTCAAGATCACCCAGGTGCATGGGGAATGCCCATTTCGGGTATCTGTTTTAGGGACCCGACCCCCCACCCCCCCCCCCACCCCAAAAAAAAAGTGGTGTTCCTTACGATTTCCTTAAAACAACAAACATGGGGGTACCCTCAATTAGTCACGATCATTACCAAGAACCAACCTTGGGCGGACAGCTATCAGCTCCCAGTGATTAACCATAAACTAGCTCCTGGACAGCAAGTAGTGGCCGGAAGTCAAAACGACCCTTGCCAGGTTTGCCTTTTGACCGCATGCACGCCCCAAGAGACCACACAGAATTCTACATGTTTTCCGGCCCCATTCATACCCCAACCTGTAGATCAAACGAACGACGGCCCGTGCCCTGAAATTCCACGCGCCTCAAAGCAGTGGCTCAAAAGACGTGCTGAAAGGAGCGGAGCGGAGCAGAAGGCGATTGGCTGCGGGCAGGCAACTCTGTGCCCTTCGGGTTGGCCACATGCACAAGACAAATGTCATGTTGTACAAACACTGTGATGCAATCAAGCAGACAATGGAAAAGTAACTGAACGCCAAAAAATACTGATAATAAAACATGAATTCGTAGAGACAACTGAATCAATACATGAATAAACAATCAACACATCAAAATAATGCATCACCAGACGCAAGACCAACCCAATGATCAACTGGCGCAATTCATATGTCCACATTCCGAAACATGTGCCATACGTACTGATACTTGCAAACTAGCACCAGCATGTAAAAACACATAAGGTACGTACAACATGCGTTCCCATGGCCAACACGGGCTGCAGGTATAACCCTCCCTGCACTCAACCCCCTAATAGTGCAGCAGGGCACATTTTGCTCCGGCGGGAGACTCATGAGCAGAAGTCCGGGAACCGAGCCGGTCGACACGGCCCAATATCAGAGATGAGGTGACAAATCTGATGAATAGAAGGCCTTGAAAGAAAAGGGTTGGCAAAGGTCCGCAAAGCCACTCAAACAGAGTCCTTTCTTGAAATGCATGCAAACAAATGCCAGCCTTGGCTCACTTTCAAGTCATATCTGGAAGTCAAAGTCTGCGCGGCTCACTCACCGTCTGCGTTCATTCTTCCTGAGGGCTAAGCTGAGACAAATCCCCGTTTGCAGCTGACAAACGGCCATAGCCTGGTAAAATGCAATGAAACATTGTCAATCCATAACGAACTAAGGGACGGCAAGGCTTTGTTCCCATCACACTTGCAGCATTGGGAGAATTCGCTGTTGCTGTTGTGAAGAAGAAACTGAGCTACTTGTTTCAGATTGTTTATAGAAGTTCCGGCCACCACAAGTTAGAACCCTCAACATTCCAAGCCTAATCGCAGGAACAGCGGCAAGTAGCCAAGGTGCACTTCTCCGGCAAAGTCCAAATGCGGCACGAGGCTCTGACGGGCTCGCTGCACAGACCGTGCCGAGGGCTTATCTCGGATCCGCATGGAAGGCACCGAGCCGTGCCTCAACAGACGTGGAGGAGACCTCAATTTCGCTCGGCAGAAATCAGGGTTACATAACTTTGCTTGATGCCGAGGTAGGCTGAACCTCACGGGACACCTTGCAGTCGTCCAACAAATTGACAACTGTCAGAAAAGAGGGACCCCAAAGTCAGGACCTTCATTGGTCCGCCCATCTTATCATCTGTCAAGCCTTGGGGCAGCTATAAATCGTCGCCATGCCCTACAGCGCGGCAAGTGTACCAACACAGATTCGAGATTAGTTCTGAAATAAGATGGGACTGTGTTTGCAGGAATTATTGCGAGTGTGGGCGTCCTGTTGAAACCATCCACCAAAAGGAGTTCCCAGCATCAACAATTGCCCATTTGTGCTTTATTGTTCTCGCTTCATGTTGGGTTAAAGATAACACGTGAACGTGTCACCTCGCTCACTCCCCGCAACAAAGCACTGGTCCAACCGCCTCACCACAACAGGGGCAAATGCCCTTCCAAGGCTTCCTGAAGACATAACGGGCAACCAACTTCTCGCAACAAAAGCCTGTATGCCAAAGAGACCTTTCATTTTGTTGTCAGGGTCATTGCGCTTTCACATGCTCCCCTTCTCATGCCTAAGTAAAAAAACGAAGCATCTGCAGCTTGGCCAACTAATTCCTGGTGTCTTTTACTTCCTTCGGTCTCCCCCATTAAACAAAACATGACACCTGCACCATGCTTCGCAGGGAATGATCATCTTTCAAGTCTTGGGGGGCAACCTTGTCGACTTGCCAAGCTGAAGCAACGTTTAAGCCAAAACTTTGAAACCTCAAGTTTGCCTGGGCAAGTACAGCAACACTGTCCCCGAAACTAAGCCAAGGAATCCCCTCTAAAGTTTGAACACTCCCCTTATTGATTCGACAGCGGTTTACCCAGGTTCTAACACTCCCCTTATTGATTCGACAGCGGTTTACCCAGGTTCTAACACTCCCCTTATTGATTCGACAGCGGTTTACCCAGGTTCTTTGTTGAACAACTCGCCATACACACAAAGGTTGCCACAAAAGGAACCTGCACCACGGGCGAGGTCGACCCTGGTGTGAGACTAGCTTTAGTTGCACCTGAGATAGACGCGCTAGAAGCCGACAACATAAAAAGAACATCGAAGCTCCCACCTTCCTCCCAGCGGGTCTTCGGCCTCCAGTGCTTGTTGTTGGCTCCGTGCCGGCCATGGTGACTTGCTGCGTGGGAACGCGAGCCTGCCAGGTCAGCTGGCACCCCTCGGGCAGGTTTTAGTCCTTGGTTCCATTTACCAGGGCTCCATTTTGGGTACCTGTTTTTGACCCACAGCCATTTGATCGTCGGAAACAGAGCTCCAGCCCTCGGATTCACAGCCAGCGTGCCCGAGCTGTGCGTCTTCCACTTCCAGGAGCTCCAGTCCTAGCAACTCGTGCATCCTTTGAGCCCCTGACCATGCCCAAACACCAAGGAATGCTAAGGATGAAAGCTGCTAAGGAATTGACCACGCGGAAAATGTTGACGTCAAACTGCTAGAATATTTATTGGCAGAATATAGAATATGCTTTGGCATTGCAACAAATATAAAGAAGCTGTAGGTAACGCAAATCATGAACGGCTTGAGAGCCAATCTAGAATACAAGAGCTAAGTTCGAATCATGAGCAGAAGTTTCAGAGGAAAATAGCAGAGCCCTGTAAAGTTGCAACGCACGATGCTCGAATAAACACGTAAATAGAAACGTTGCTGCAAATTTTGGAGGCATGACCATAATTAATACAAAGCAAACAAGCAAATTATCCCAACAGAAGCGTTAACCCTGATGCAGGGCATGGAAGCGTTGGGCGCGTAGCAGCCATCAACTGCTACTTTACTATTATTGAGTCAAGTCAGGTGTCTCTTTTTGGCTAATCGCATATCAAGGACAAAAAGACAGAACGCCGACAAGCTTGCTTCAAATAGCTGAAAGTTCGGTACCAAGTGCTCAAAGAAGAATTCATCAAGCAACAAGCTTCATGCGATTCCACTTGATATCTAGTTGCCTAGTTACCATCTCAGCACTTTCTGGAATTAAAAATCAGACCTAGGCAACCCAATCTGCAAAGTTGGTGTCATGTGCATGAATGTCCCTTGGCTTGGGCTGTTACCCAGCGTTTCCTCTTTAGCATCACCCTGCCGAATCGAGATCCGCAAAATTCAACCGTACTTTATAGGTTCCGGGATTCCGTGGTTCAACGTTTGGCCCAAGCGCTAAGCAGCGTCTCAACTGGCCAATAAACATTATAGAAATGGACCGCACATCGGCTGTCTTTTGAACGGAAACCAAATGGGGCAACCTCCCAAAGGGTAAACACGCGCCCACGTCCACACGAGGGTTCCCACGCGTCCTTCTCCTTGCACCACTCTTTCTCTTCCCACCTCTCCCAGCTCCGACTTGTCAGGTGTTGACCTTCCCACCGGACGCCTGGCTCTGGCATTGGGGTAACTCTCCATGTTGTTTTGCGCCAAGAAAAACTGTCCCACTTCCACTTTCCAGCGGGCTTCGCCTGGGCTTCGCCTGGGCTTTCCAAAGGTGACGGAAGGGCTCAACTCCCCTGCAAAACTATTGGTGAATCCTCGAACCTTACAGTTGATGCTCAGGATGTGTAAAGCTTCCACGCGTGCGCCCAAATACCGTGATTCGCCAATGAAGCAAGCTGGTGTATGGTGCTGGTGAATCAAGCAAGTGAATACACACAAAGCGCAGCTGACGCAGGGGACTTGAACTCTGCGTTTTGCAGCTGCCAGGGGCGACGGAGATGGCTCTCGTGTGAAGGAAAGGGAAAGACGAAGCAGTTTTTACTCAGCGAGCGTGCCATTGGTAAGAAAAAACCGAACCCTTGCATGGATGGCAATTTCGAATAGGAAACCTATCAAAGAACAAAGGGAAACAGGGCGCCACTCAACAAATCAAGTGCAAAACATCGTTGGTCACAGTTGCTCACAGGCGTAGGTGCAATTCACGGGATAAACAGCTTGGGCTGACCCACCCTGGGTCTCCCAAGCTTGAAGCTGGCACGTCAACCTCCTTTTGCTGCTATGCCTTCGTGCCCTCGATCCGACGTGACCACAAGATCGACACGGTCCTGCCTCTGGAGCCAAGGAGCTCCGCGGAAACCTGCCAGGCCTTGGCAGAGCCAGCAGGGTGGGACAGGGGCCTCGCTGAGGTTGGCGCAAGAATGTCTGTTTTTTGGGCATGCCACAAATTGCAGCTTGCTGTTTGGCTTCCTTTCAAACCATAAAAAAAGGGGCACCCTAAAAAGACACACCTATATATATATATATACACATATTGCAATTCCTGTTGTCGATTGCTTCTTGGGTACCAAGCAGGATGACCCCTCGCAGCCTATGGTTGACTCCTGCAGTTCAAATCGCCCGGTGAGTACCATAATCAAATATTATGCGTGTAGCTGCTTTGCCTACAAAACATATAGAAACAGCATATCTGTGTGTGTGTGTCGGTACCTTGGCAAGTCTGGCACAAGAGGCTTGCGTAGCAAGTCTGGTAAAAAAGGCTTCATTACGCACACCGATTTGCGGCCAAAGCCGGGGACAGGCGACAACGCTTCCATCAGTCAACTGGCTGTTCAGCACAAATTAAATTGGGGATATGTACAGCCGTGCGGTATACTTGCGAGGCGTTTGCCTGCTTAAGCCCCTAAGCAGCTGAAACAACTCTGCCGTCAGACTTTGGGCAGCTTGTTGGTTAGCAATGAAGCATGACACGACAAGTCGTGCGAAGCACCACGAAGCCGTGGAGAAATCCAGCAAGAATACGCGGAACATCGTCGGCAAACCATAAATCCCAGGCCTTTTGCGACTCATCGACGCATGACTGCGACTCCTCCTCGGCAAACATGCGAGCATTGCGGCAGGAGCCCACCCGCTCTCCCCGTCCAAATCGTTAGGAAGTATTGGTTTGAGCATTGTTTAACTAGTCAATCCTGGATTGAAGAAGGTTAGCAAACCCAAGAACCAAGGCTGACGCGGATCCCTGATTACACCACATAGCCAGGGGTTTCCCCCTCGTTTTGGCAGCTATCGGCATGCTACTGCCTCTCAAACCCACCAGACCCCCTGCCCCATTTTTTGCGCAAAGAAAGAACATCTTCCCTGGGGCAGCCAACTGAACCAGGGGCGCAGTGAGGACGGCCTGAATTAGAACTCCAATAAGTGGCGATGTTGGCCCGAATTGCGGCTGCTACCAAAAGCGAATCACGTAAACATGATTGCAGCACCCAGAAGCCAAGGGGTTCATGGTGTATTGTGGGCCCACACCCGCAGCCATCGAACCAAAAGAAGCCGTCAGGCCATGTCATATCATGGCAATCAACCAACCGAAGATTCGAGAACAAGGACTGCCGAGCCTGAGTCAGTGCCCCAAACATCTCTCAACACTGGGACGCGGTATGCAAGAGCTAGACATGCGGTGTGTATATACCCAAGACACATGCTCATTTCCTTGAACAGCAAACATGTTTGGTTCAAAGGGGTGCGCAAGACCCTGGTGTTGGGTGAAGCAAGATGTGCTTTACCTGAAGTTTGCCTTCAAAGCTGGGGTCAGTGGGGAGCCTGGGTATATGGTAAACCCATTTGCTCAAAGACCTGGAGATGAAGCTTCATCCTTTGGGGGTCATGACATTCCTGGTCAATAGTGGAAAGCCAAACCCTGATTCAAATCCTAAAGGTCGATTTGCCTCGGATGGAACATGCAAAAATCCTCAATGCAAAGATCGCGCCACAATGAACAACCGCACAGCCCCTCTCCAATTTCACCCCAGGGAAACTAGGCTGTTCAAAATCAGGGCATCCCTAATTGCAATCCTCAATCCAGAGTGGGACAACACTATCAATTAAGAGCCCTACCATGCGGCCTAAGGATCTTTACGGAATCTTGCGGACTGATTTTGACATATTTTGAGCAACCCATAAAACTGAGTTATTATGAAGGTGCCCACGTGCAACGTTCCCATCTGAGACCGGCGCCGGCGCGGAATCATCCTGCCACGTCTTCACCACGCCACTGCCGTCACACATGAGGTGCCCTGGCGGCTTCGGACGGCTCGGGAGGGAAAAGGAGAAGAGAAGAGTCTTTGTCTAGCCTTCCTTCCAACAAGAAGATGTGACTCATGGAATTCCAGCCGTCACGCCCCTTCCCCCAAGAATGTGACTCGGGGCGGGCCTCCATACCTCACACACACACACACAGCACTGGTTGCGCCCTGTTCAGCAAATAACAAACCGGCCAGACACACAGAACCCTCTGCAGGTTTGGCAGCAAGCCAAACTTGTTTCCAAGCAGATATGATCCAAATAGGCAAGAAGGGAACTCGAGCAACGTTGTTCACTGCGGGGCACTAACTTGCTTTGCCCCTGATCGGGACCATCCGCAAACCTTCGCTCGGAGTGCAAGCGAATGGAACAACACTCAACGGATCACAAAGGGTGCGGATGTATTTTGGGATTTTTCTTGGATTATTTTTCGTTTTCGTCCGGGACAGCATTTTCTCGCGAAATTGACGCCAACATCCCCAGCATCGTTTTCAACATCCCCCACATGTCCAACCAACATCCCTAGCATCACCAGCAAATCGTGGGTAACATAATCAAACAAGTAGTAGCTGGCGGGTTGACGGGGTCAAAAAAATGATGATTCAAATAGGAGGGCATCAATCCCTAGACCGTACAAAAAAGCCTCCATCATGTTTGCAGAAGTGATGATTCGAATAGCTCTGCAAAAAGTCTAAAACGTAGCGGGGGGGTTGGGGGGGGCGGCAGCCCCCCCCATGATGTTCGAAGAAGTGATGATCAAGTAGGGGTGCAATGATTCAAGAACGGGTGCGATAGAATTTAAAAGGCAGCGGGAGAGTTGGCGGCGGTAGCTTTCCCTATGATGTTTGAAGAAGTGCATACATACTACAGACATACATGGATTACATAGATTACCTAAAATGTCGTATTTTACATCATTGTATCGCGAAATTGGACGCTCGACAGTGATGATTCAAATAGGGGTGCAATTAAATCTTGCAAGAAATCTAAAAAGGAGCGGGGGGGTTGGGGGGGAGGCGGCAGCCCCCACCATGATGTTTGAAGAAGTGTTGATTCAAATAGGGGTGCAATTACTCTGCAAACAATCTAAAAAGTAGCAGGTGGGTGGGGGGGGGAGCCAAATCCAAAAACCAAGCAAAAGCCAAAACCCCCGGAGAGGAACTGGGAAAGCAGAGGATGCGCAAAGCCAAAGCCGCCAACAGCCGCATAAACCAGCGAAAAAGCCGCAAAAGCCAAAACGCCACTTGCCGAAGAGGAACTGGGAATGCAGAGGATGCGAAAAGCCAAGCCAAAAAGCCAAAAGCCGCATAAACCAACAAGAAGCCGAAAAGCCAAGAAGCCGAGAAGCCAAAAAGCGAAGAAGCCAAGAAGCCAAGAAGCCGAAAAGCCAAGAAGCCAAGAAGCCAAAAAGCCAAGAAGACAAAAAGCCAAAAGAGAAAAAAACATGAACAAAAAACGAAAAATAAAATCCTAAAATAAATACCCCTCCAATCACAAATATCCAAAGAACACGCCCCAGTCGACAAGAAGGGGTCACCGGATTACGCCTTTGAGAAACAACATTTACTTTTAGAGTCTAAAGAAAAGTCAAGTTGTCAAGGTCCAACGAAGCAAGATTCAGGGACCCCTGACCAAACAAAATCGCAGCCGGTAATGACGTCTGCCATTACCGAGCTACTGAGTTGACTTCCTTGGCAAAAAGCAAGGGCGTTGGCTGAATGCAGGTAGAGGAAACGTGGCCCAACAAGCTTTGACATTTAATCTGTAGATCAGGAAACGTTGTCTCAAGTGTTAGCCTTCTCCGGCTGTGACCCTGAACCATCTGGTGTGGTCGCAACTCCTGGCAAAAGGGGCTTCATGGGGCTTCTAAGAAACACATCAAGGGCTCGAACTCCCGCGACGCTCAATCAGACATGTTGAAAGGGGGGATGTGCCAGCGACGACTCACATGGCGCCCAAACTCCTCAGCATTGCAGGTTTCAACTCGGCTTTCCAGTGGCTTCCCTCACGCCGCCACCCGATGCAGGTGACACTCCTTCGGCTAAATTGTTTTTCACCTCCTTAAACACAAGCCTGTCTTAAACCCAAACCCAAACAACCCATGTGCAAACTGCTATTTGCAGGGGTGGCGGGCCCGCTCTGACTCCACCTCACCCGTCCCCGCGTCCCTCGCCTTCACCCCGGCAGGCAGCACAGCGGAGGCCGTGCCAGGGCCCAAACCGCGCAGATCTCAGCGCCTCCTGGATATAACTCAGGGAGGGCGGCTTCCCTCATGTCCTTCCTAGGGACAGGGCAAGCAGATTACGATGTTTTGCATCTTCCGCAAGCTCGCCTTTGTGAAATCAAGTGTTGCCAATCGCCTTCAAAACTGCTGAACCATCGAAGATGTTGGTTTCCCTTGCAGGTCTTTGGTGGTTTTGATCATGATCATTTCCAGTAAAGCACACCCAAAGGCGACCCTGACGGATCATGCTTTTGGACTCACTAGCTTATGTATCAAGACATGTGCTTGTTATGTTCAAGCAGCGACTGGGGATTCGTCTCGCAATCAAGAGGGCCATCCTTTTCCATCCTTTGCTCAAACAACTTCAACAGGGACCCCAAGCCAAAGTCATCACCCTTGTCCTTGGCTTTATGGTTTTACCCCAAACCAGCGCATCCTTGTTCTGCATGGTCCACCTTGTTGAACACCTTCAAACCACGGCTGTTTAATTGAGTAAGCAACAGCCTTTTGGTTTGCCTTTTGCGTGGGCCAACTGGTCGTTTCGACACAAAAGCCCCTGCTTACCGCTCACTGGGCAACTAAGCCAGAAACAAAGCGATGTCTTGTGGGCCCGCTCTCCTGTGGGCACTGCGCAGCCCCGTGGCCCTTGCGCCAGCACAGGTCGCCTGGGACACTTTACCAGGGTTCCGCCATGCGATTTTCCTAGCACCATGAGCGCCGCCACGGCTTTGTGTCAACAGCTTGAGGAGCAAGTTAGAACAAGACACCACCTCAAATGAAACGCACATGCATCTCCGCAAGGGCAATTGGAGTGCTCCGCGGGTTCATGTCCAAGGCGCCGCTTGTCAATCAACAACCTCAGGGTTGAATCATGAACAAACCATGGTGCTGTATGCATGCCTCTGGCCAAAAGAAACTGAAAGTGAAACATGTCCTCGACAACGTGACTCCCCAGCCAATCGTGTCCATGGTCCTGATTTTCAAGCTGTCAGTTGTTTTGAACAAGGCTCTCCTAAAGAACAGTAGGTGACAGTAACAGGATTTTTTCACCCTCAGGCAGGCAACGCAAGTTGAAAGAGGGTTCAGAAAGCAGCTTGCCCCGAACCTGCAGGTCCAGTTTGAAAGCACTTGCGGAACAAAAGCAGCAGTGCATGCACCCAAAACCCTCCAGTTGTGTATCAAGGGCCAATATCCCCTCAGTCCAATTCCATGTCTAAGGGGTATGTCTAGTGGTGGCTATGCAGAGAACACCAAGCCCCAATGAGTTTGCCGGGCAAACAGGATGTGTTTCAGATAAGGAGGGCACCCCTTTGTCACTGCTCAAGCACGATCAACCCTCTTCAAACCATGTGAACACATAGTTGTTTATGTGCAGTGATTCCATTGTGCGCTTCCCATTTAGTCGTTTAGCTCTGCCTTTGGAGGCCGAACTCAATGCCCGTTGAGGCGTCCACTTTGTTTGCTGTCCCAGGCACACTTCTCCCGGGCACGAGGGCATCGTTTCACGTTGTGGCCGGTTGCGAAGCAAATCCAGCACCTGCTGCATGCAGGAGTGGATGCCATCCCGTCTGCAAACAGATTCACCAGGGAGAGGGATCCAAACAAAAACGCGAACCTTCTGCTTGTGCACCTGCCTCCACCATCAAGCGCGGGGGGCACGGATGGTTTCAAGAATGGCCCAAAACTTGCAAACAAGGCGGGTGCCTCTGCAAGCTTCTCACAACTGCGGACTGGGGCGCTACACACTTCTTTGCGCGGCTGGGCAAGAAGAACTGAAGCCTTCGCAGTGGAATGAGATGGAAATCTGTGTTGCTATCATTTCCTACATGTTTGTTGATCACTTCCTGAGCGGCGCAGGCAAACTATACAAGGCTCTGCCACCTAGATGTGTTGCGTGACCGATGAGTGGGTGAGGCTGACAAGCCATCACTTCCTCACTTTTTGACTGGGTTTGCCGGACATTTACACTGCAGTTTCCCCACCAAACTGATTTCCAACAACAGAGATCCTGCAAGTTCCCGTTCGGCCCATTGCTGGCAAAAGGCTATCTGTCAGGACACCAGCAGAAGAAATCATCCTGTCACGCATGCCCCCCCCCGCACCCCCATCCCCGCGGAAGGCGTGGATTCGGGAAGGGAGGGTCAACATCACGCTCAGGCTCCCTGATCAAACTTGTTCAAGAAAGAAAAACATGAGCCAACTGCCTCCGTGGGAAATCCCAGAAAATTTCAGCCTCGCAATGTCATCAAAAAAGCACTTGTTGTTTGCAGCCCCCCACCAAACATGATCAGGACCCGAAACAGCAAGCAACACCCAAACACGCGCCCGGAACACTCCTGCCTGCTCTCCGGGCAGTGGCTGGCGCGGTGGCCACCGTTGAAGCAAACCATGCAGAGATGCTTCGCACCGAGCCTTAGTGCAGATTGGAGGCAGAAGCCAAAGGCCTCTGGCTAACAAAAAGGCCCCCCGACCTGCAGACGCACATTTTGCCTAGATTTTCATCTGACTCCGCATCAAAAGATATGTACACGTGAGGCGTCTCCAGCTCACGCTGCACATGGTTGATATCCGCACCATCAAGTTCATTGCCCCAAGTCAACACAATCTTCTGTGCGGAACGTGCCAAAAGACAAATGGGATAAAGAGAACCACTAAACAACTGGGCTAACATTTCCGCGGGCGTCACTGGCCGAACCCCCGAAACTCGGCATTGAAAGCCCAGCTGCCGAGTGAGGTAGCCATCGTCGGTGCGCAGGGCACTCTGCGCAGGCATCCTGGTAAGAAGCTTCAGATGCGGGCTTGTTTCAAAACTAAGGACCCCGGAGAATGGCTGGCTCCCTTTTGATTCGCATTGTAAAAAAAACTTGGCCAACCCTACTTTGGATGAAAGAAAACCGGTCGATAAACAGGCAGGGGGCCCCACTTTCGAACACCCCGGTTGATCTGGCTTGGGGTTGAAGTCAGGGGCAAACATCACCTGAGCCGTGCTTTCCCCTTTTTTTTCTAATGTGTGGGGCCTATACACTGGAAGCACATACCTACGTGGAGGCTACGCGGCAGTCTTCCCCCTAGGAATTTGGCTGCGCGGAGGCTACGCGGAAAATATTGGTTGATAAGTGGCTACGTGGGGAGCTACGCCGGGGCTACGCGAATATGCGTTGGCAACCGGAAGTCGCAGAAGAAGAAGTAGTGGTAGTAGCAGTAGTAGTAGTAGCAGTAGTAGTAGTAGTGGTAGTGGTAGTGGTAGTGGTAGCAGTAGTAGTAGTAGTAGTAGTGGTAGTGGTACTGGTAGTAGTAGTAGTAGTAGTAGTGGTCGTGGTGGTAGTAGTAGTAGTAGTACTAGTACTAGTAGTAGTAGCAGTAGTAGCAGTAGTAGCACTAGTACTTGTAGTAGTAGTAGTAGTAGAAGTAGAAGTAGTAGCAGTAGAAGTAGAAGTAGAAGTAGAAGTAGAAGTAGTAGTAGTAGTCGTAGTAGTAGTAGTAGTAGTAATGGCAATAGTAGTAGGAGGCATGTGGGCCAGTGGCCTTGAATACGCCTTGGAGGCTACGCGGAGGCTACGCGCAGGCTACGCTGAGGCTACGCGGAATGAGCGAACTCAGTTCTGGCCGGGCCAAGGCAAATCAAATTCACCCTCTTTCTCTGAGACATGAAAGCTTTCAACCTAAGCCTTTAACTCAAGACAAAGGATCTAGGCAGAGGCTACGCGGACGATTATCGACAGCTCCCTGTGCTAGTGGCTACGCGGAGGCTACGCAAGGCTACGCGGTCCCAGGAGTAGGCTGCGTGGGCACCATGGCAGTTCCCCTCTCCTTTTGGCTCCTGCATTTAACACATGATTCAAAAATCAAAAACGCTGCTCACCTGTTTATTGGCTGAATGTTGGTCATGAATCCGGCAGACAGTGGTTTTTCAGATGCGGGCTCCTCTGACGACGCGCGCAACGGGACTCCATAACTAGATGGTCATGGTTGCGCTAGTCGCCTGGCGGCCTTTTGTCGGCAATGACCAAAAATCGCTGGTTTGCTGATTTCGCTTGAAGCATTTCATGAACCAAGGCACACAACTACTTGGCGTGGTCAATTCTGCAACATATTCTCGTCCATGCTCCCAATAAAGCGTGAGGCCAAGCAGCTTCTAAGCTTCTTCACCCGCAATGTTGGGAAGCATGCATCGTAGATCGTTAGTAAATGAATGAAAGAGGCTTGTCTCAAGACGTCATGAAACTAACCCTTCGGCACGATTTCCTCGCTGATGTTGACCAACAGCACAAGAGTATGGTTGGGTTATGATGCACAAACCCAAATCCAAACGCTTTGGCTTTGACTAGCGAGAATGTGTCAACCAAAGACCGCGATAAATGGCTTGGGTCATTTGTCTGCTCGGTTTCCCTTCACAATAAATAATGAAAGCACCACAGGCATTATGCTGAACGGAGTTGTGGCCAAGCGAAGAAGAAGGTAAAACCATACATGGCATGGCCTACACAACATGTCTTTGCAAGTCAGCGCTTAGAACGCAGCATCGGACTCAGGTTCGAGCGATTTCCGTCAGCTGAAGTATGTGCTGCATACTCCAACAGAACGTCTTAATAGGGAGGTTCCTCCGAAGAATTTCCTCTCAACGGGAATTTGCCACAGTAGAACACCTGAAAGGATTTAAGTGGGGGGGGTCAAATGGGCTTGTCTTAAAGGGGAGCCTCTCAAATATGTGGCCGCTTTTGGCCGAAAAGGACGCGCACCAAAGACGAAGCCGTTGATGGCTTGAGTTCCCAGGGGCCAAGGCGGCTGAATCGAGCCCTGGGCCTTGGGACAACTTTTTGCTCACGGGGAAATGTAGAATGCTGGGCCCGGTGAATTAGCACCCAGCTTAGCCATGCGGATGGGTCTGTCCTTTGCGCGTGCTCCTCCCCATAGTAGCGGTTCAGCTGGAAGAAGGCTTTTGCCGATCGCCTCCGTGCCTCCAAGGGGTCACAGCTCAGCGCCTGCGCAAAAAGCTGAGTGGAAAGGTGTCCAGAGAACTCTACTGAGCCATTTCTCTTAGTCATCGTCCATCCTTTTGGTTCCAGGAGGGACATGTAAGGTAGGATTCCCCTTCAAAAGTGGATGTTCCAATGAATCGCTCCCTTTCAAACGTGCCAAGGGAAATTGAGGGACCCATCAAAACGAGATGGAAGGAGAAGACAGCAAACTGTTCTGGTGACAGGCCAACTTTCGCCTTGCTTCTCGGTAGCATGCCCCGGGCAACTGAAAATGAACTACGAAACCCAATCAACTTAACCTGCCTCACACCTACACAACTCAGGGGGTCTGGAAACAAAGACCTGCTGGTTCTGTTCCGCCATATTGGAAGCCCACGGAGCGATTCCTAGGGAGGGGGGTCTCGGAAGGCTGGAAAGGCCCGCGGAGCAGTCAGGAACCAGGGTCCCAGCAGCCTCTGAGCAGAGATAAAGCTGTTTCTTGGACTTAGGTCCTCAGGTCTATCATTCCAGCTGTTGTGGTTCTCGGAAGCATTCTAAAGATCCGCTGCTCTGAGAAACACCCAAATGCAGTTCTGTCGCGGAAAGTTTCAGGCTCACTCTCACAACAGGTGCAGTGCTCCCTCCAATCAGCCAGCCTCAGGTCCCCTAGCCGGTTTAGTGGAAAGACACTGCAAGTCTGAACCGCACCGGGATCCAACCTGCTAATTACGAGTATGTATTGCTTTTGTTCCGCTTCCCAACGCACCCTAGGGAATGTGTATCCCTGGTTCTCTAGTGAAATGGTATCAAGGAGGGTGGAGTGAGGCTATTGTTTTCACTGCTGATTGCTGTAGGGGATGTCAAGTCTTCCACTATGCTTCTGAGTCTGCACGTAGACTACCAGTCCGTAGTCACGCTAGTTTGCTCTCCGCATCTCTCCGCACTTGATGATTTTGTTGTTTTTGTCGGTGCACGACCATTGGCATTTTGACGCTGTTGCGGTGTCTTCATGTTTGGCAGGAATGGGTGTCATTATTGTGCTACCATGCCTCGTTCGTACACGATGTGAGCAAGAAGGCTGTGCCAGGCATGAGCCAACCAGACTGGCCGAAAAAGTCCGCAAGATATTCAAGAGCGACAGGATACCTCAAGAAATGTCGAAGTGTGCTATTTGCAGGCAAAATACTGCATTCTTCTCTGAGCATCCCGGCATATTTTTGGGTGCGGTTCATTTGTGCGGCGGGCGCCCCTGCAAGGATTTCGATCTCGGGTTGTCGGCAAGCCATTGCAGAATTCTGCGCCCCCTTGACTAAGACAAAACATTTGACCGCCAATCACATGCTTTGGGAATATGCTGAAATACGCCTGGGGCTTGCGATTGGCATCCCTGACTCCAGGTATTTGACTGTTTTTGTGTAGTTTGACTTGTTGAGACCTGGATTGTCGGCTTTGTTGTTTTCTATGGGAGCTTGGTTTGGGTTGATGGTTGTGAACTTCCCGGTTGCTGCTTTTGGTGGTGTACTCGCAAACTCTGTCTCTTGATCCTTCGCTAAGTTCGTGCCCCAAAGGTTTCACCCGCGCCTGGCGCCGGTACGCGTCCAGGGCCGCCAGCTCTGGCAGCTCTTCGCCCGCCTCCGGTGCCGCCTCCGGCGCCGCCTCCGGTGCCGCCTTCGGTGCCGCCTCCGGCGCGTCCTGCAGGGCCGAGAGTTGAGTGAAGGACTCAAACCTTTTGGACCTTGGCTCAGCCGGGGAAGCAACAGAACAGCAAACACGAAACCGAATTGGCCAGCCGACGCACACTCCGAACTGAGAATGGAGTCAGATGTCCTTGTCCTTGGGCACCTGGGCTTCCGTGCTGGGGACAACTGTGAAGGCCAACTTCTGGCGAGGCCTTGGCGACGAAGCCCCCGGATCCCCCGGCTGATTTCCGCGCGGTTCTTGCCGCCAAGCTGCTTCTCATCTTCCGACTGAACTTTTGGCTCCTCAGAGGCTGGGAAAGGGTTGGGGACTCGGCTCAAGAGCAAAAGACCTTCTGGCAGGCTCCTTGCCATCGAGTGCAAGAAGCAACACAGCACGCAAGATACGCAGGAAGCCCAAACGTGCCTGACCCTCTTGGGAGTTCTAATCCCGAAGGATGGGATTGGACACCCGCTGGCTGATTCTATTTGGGCCATCTTCAACGAATTCGGACCATGTCAATCCATGGTGCTGGAGCCTTCAACCTGCAAATGACCCATCAGAATCCCCCTGCCCAAACTGCTAAAATTGCAGCACACTGACAAATGGGGAGCCGAAAGGTCACGTCTTCAGGCTCGCTCCCTCCAACTGCACCCTTTCGTTCCTCGCTCTCTCCGGCTGCTTCCACTGCGAGCGGTTGGGCAGGCGCTCCTGGGAGGCGACTGAGTTAGGCTTGCAGTACCCTGGACAAATGAAAATACTCTTCGCCTCTTGGCTTCCCTCCACAAACTGCACCGTGCCAGGAAAGTGCCATCCACAAGGGGTACCAATCTCCAGGACACCAGTTTGCGAGAAAACCGGCTGCCAGCCAAAGAGGTCTAGTCCAACACCGTGGAATTTGCGAAAAGGAAACATGAAGCGAAAAGGAAACATGAAGCAGCCCACCACCTGTCCGATGTCAAAATCGCGCTCGTGCACCATGTCAGAAGAGTGCTAGTCGGCTTTCCTCAAGCTCAGACCCTGTAATCAGTGAGAATCAAAGGAGGGAGAAGCGCCTTCGGACGTTGCCTGTCAGCGATGGACGGAGCAAAAACGCCCATGCTCATCATTCTCAGAAGCACCCTTGGCATGCAAAATGCCGTTTCCCGTAGATTGGTGCCATTCCAACAATTGCCAAAGCGCCTGGACATGCCTTCTGCGGGCAGAGTTTGAAAAGGCGTTTGGAGCATGCAAAAATCCAGTCATCTCCGGTGCCGCCTGGCTCGGGAAGGCTGTAGAGCGAGCAGTCGGGGTTGGTGTCCATGAAGAAGAGCCCCGGAGAGTCCTCGCTAACTAGGCAAAAAGGTCTGCGGTGTGTGAAGCGAGCCAACCTGGATGCAAGCTCAAATGGCGCTTGCGCCAAAGACCCTGAGCTGTAGTTCCATTGAGGGTTGAGGTTTGCCCGTCTTGGGCGGTGCATCGAATTCCTCAAACAACTGCACATACTGAAGACTCTGTGCAGCGGCGAAGGGAAGCGCTCTGCTTGTCCTGTCCCTGATTCCCGCAGCAAAAGTGCCAAGTGGGCATCATCTGCTACCCACCCCTTCATTTCATGGTCGTTCTTGTATGTTTGTGTGCCAAACAGAAATGTGTGCACATGTGTGCAAAACATAGTGTAACCAACCAAAGGAGGTAGCCTCTGTGGATGCACATGCAAACGGGGGGAAGAAGCTCATTTGCAACAAAACTCTTACCGTGGAGTCTGGAACGACAGTAGCAAATCGGCCTTTGCGAAAAGAAAGCAAGTGCGACATGATTTCCCAGCATCACCAAATGATGGATTTGAGTTGGACTCAACCCTGTCCGTGGTATGTCTCGCTTTACACCCTTATGTGGTTGTGAGTCTCCTCCCTGCTGCAACTTGGATGTGTTCATGTCATCCCATTGCGCTGGCTATACTCTTCGGGGCTCAGACCTCTCGCAAACCCCCGCAGTCCTGCAGCTGCCGGCCGCGCTTGAGCCTATGGGCTCAATCAGGCGGGGAAAAACCTCGAGATGTGAAGCAACCCAAAGTGAAACGCTGCATCACCTCAAGCTCGGGAGAGGAAACGAGGAAACTAGCTAAATTGCAGGGATCCACTTACCTTGTCAAACTGCTTCCCTCGCATGAATTCGGTCCTGCTCAACATGAAGTATCGGACTGATGTTCATAATATTGCATCTTCAACAAGCGTCGCTCGGCCAACAAACTCGTAGCAACCCTGAGACATGCCCAGAGTCGTGCCCTTTATCTCGTCCCTGGTCAACTCGGGGCTTCGGACCCTTAACAGGGTCATGGGTCAGGGGTGTCTACCAGCCCTCACCTTCTGAAGGTTGGGGCAAAACAGCACTTCCCGCAGACCTGTGACGAGCCGGGCTCTTCCAGCCAGAAACTGGAATCAAACACCCAAGGGAAAAGGAAGTGGCCTAAGGAGAAGCCTCGCCTGTTCATAACATTTTAGGGGTTGATTCCCCATTCTTTTCAACCATCGTTCTTTTCGAAAACAGCTGTCTCCCTGGGTTTTTGATGGTTTCCTGAAAAGAAGGATCCCTGGAAAGAATGGGGAAGGTAGCCCTAGAAACATGCACCAACTCAGAGCGGGCCTCGGGCGCTGCCGCTTGGTGGCTTTCGCCGCTTGCCACCGGCGCACGCGCCGCCTTCGGCGGCTCCACCGCATGGCAAATGTCGAAGAGCGCCCTGTTGGGGGAGGGGGTGAGCAGGGCCAGGTTAGGCCGAAATTGGGCAACCAGGCTAGGAACACTGTAAACAAACAAGTGCGTTTTGGTGTTCCTGTTGAAAGGGGGCCAAAGTCGGGTTGTGGAACACCTTCTGGCCCAAAGGGTTGAGACTAACTTGCGTTGCTGATGAAAGCCACAGGAGTTGGGCTGGGCTGTGGGTAGTGTGGGGGGTAACTTCAAGTCCATGTCCAGAGCTTCTTGGCACATTCAGCCTGCGGAAGGCCCTCTCTCACGCTGTGCGCGGATCGGCCCCCGGCTTGCAGCCGTGCCCTGCGGACCACGTGCCAAGGCCGGCGCAACCACGTCAGTCACAAGCAAGTGAGTGAACGAGCGAGCGAGCGAGGAAGCACTGGATGACACACCCCTCCCACAAACATGGACGTCAGTGGTCTTGCAGGAGGCTTCCTCGAGTTTGTTTGTTGTAATGGAGGGCGTTGAGCCTGTATTCACTCGTTGGCTTGCCAGTTGCTTGGGAACCACCGTCATCCAAGCAGTTGAACCTTGACTGCAAGCACAACTTGACTTGCTAATGGTCAATTTGGCTGCCCCATCTTCAGGGAAAACAAAGGCATATACCAGATGAACAAAGCAGTTTGCCGAGCGAGACCTTTTGTGCACGAAACCCAGACAGTTCAAGTTCTTTGGGAAATAGTTGCGTTGCCTTAATTCTTGGTCCAACCGGCACTAGATCAACGCAGCAAGTATGTGTCCAACAAGTTGACGTGTGATAGATGCGGGCAATGCTGGGAAACCATTCACACATGCTTAGGATGAACACATCTGTTGTCACTTCCACGAGGGGCGCCTCCCAAAGCGAACGAGTCATCACAGAATGCCTTTCTGTTGCGTTTAGGGCACGCCCGTCATTCCCAAGTTATATTGATATGCTGTTTAGCCCCTAGCTTCCTTCCCGCTCGGCACATGCGAGTGCTTTCACACAAAGCGTTGCCTGAGGCAGAGTCTCTTAGTTCCGTCCTCATGAGCAGAAATGCTTTCTGCGTGCAAGGCGTTCCAGTCAAGAGCGGACGCGAGCCATGGAAGGAATCGAGCGTGACCATGCTGCTGAACTCAATGAAATGAAACCTGAAAGCCTGTTCAATAAACGGGGCTCTCTTCTCTCTCCTTCGGCATCACCCCAACAAGAAGGGATTTAGAGGTGCCACTAAGCAACTAGGACCCTGATAGGGGGGGTCAGTCTGTGAAGCGACAGGCCTGTGGTTGGAAACCTGTCCTCGCAAATAGGCGAAGCCCAAACTGGTGATTGATCCACCTTTTGAAGGGTCCTATTAAGCATGCGGCCAATACATTGCTCCAAGGGCGTTCAATAAAGCACGGATGGTAGGAGACAAAACAAAAACGGCTCCTGAAAGTCTGCAGCCCCGCTGGAAATCTGTACAGAAGCATGGCCCAATCCGAGGGGGAGAAGGGGGCAGGGCCCCAGAATTGAGATTCTCCCCTACGACTCCATCTTTAAGGTGGGGATTCCGAAAGCTTTGTCTCAGCGCCAAAATCCTGCTCGGTTGCTTCCAGCTCTGCATGAAATTCGCCAGAGGGCAGTCCCTTGTGCCGGCCACTAACACCCCACTCGTGGCAGTCAGAGCCACGCCAGGTGTCAAAGAGGGGGTGCAAATGAAGACATAGCTGACCCCCTGCTAGGTCCCCTCGGACCAAGTAAACATCATGGTCTAGTTCGAAGCTCGCGCGGACAAGACACACGTCTTGTCCAGAGAAATCCGACCAACCAGTGTCCCCCTCCCAAAGACCTTCCAAACGACTGATTGCAGGGCACGAGTCTTTGATGCAATTTGGGGGAATCTGATGTCCCCTTGCCAACTTGGCATGGGGAAACTACCTTTACGAGTAATTTATCTGGCTGGGCATTATGAACAGAATGAAGACCTGCGGGAACAAAGTCAAGAGCCGACCAAGTGCCTTGCTTGTTTGAAGCATACGTAGGCGTGTCATAAAGGAGCCTTACGAACACTGAAGGATGCAAATTCCATCAAGCTGCACGTGCTTTGGGGGCTGAAGCTAGAACTCATGCCTACGCTTGGAAGTCGGTTGCAACTTGTCTTTAATCAAAGCTCTGCTTCCCTCCTTGCTGTCGAATCTTGGATGAATAGACCCAGCGGATGGAAATGGGGCTGCAACCCATGAAGCACTTTGAATCCCACTGCCAGGCGGAAGGCTACCAATGTCTTGACCTTCCCGGCCTTGTTTTTGTTCACCATACCCTGGATTGGTCAAACTGACCCGCTTAAGAATGGGTTAGCCTCCTGGAAAAAACACTCATTTGAACAGCCGCAAGCTTCAAAGCTCAAACCAAACAGCTAGCCAGAGCCGAGCAGACTGTTCGCGGCGGCCAAGGCCGAAATTCCCTCTGGTCCGCACTGTCAAGGACCGGGCGCCAATTCAGATCACCCCGACCTGGGCGTAGATGGCACATGTCCCCCCTCGCGTGCATAGGGCCGCCTTGAATCCTTTGACTCTTTGACCCTTTCACTAACTCTGGACTGGCAACGTTCGAAAGCACAGCTGCAAATGATATAGCGTTAGACTCTAGATGGTCGTGCGCATCATGAACAAGAATAACAGGGTGGATAGGAAGCGGGCCTAGGCAAAAAAACACATTATACGTGGAAGTAGATCAAACCGGGTTGCAATCTTCAAAATGGTATGCTTTCTGTCAGGCGCATGACTCTTTGCGAGTTCGTGCAGTAAGAAGAAGCTAGCCGCTAGTTCCTGAGTATTGTCAGCCTATCAGAGGGTGTTGTACAGCCTGAAAATGCATTCCTTCTAATCATATTCATCTATTCACATTTCGCTTGCGATGAATCCGCTTCTTAATCACACGGCAACCCTGTTGGAAGCGGGAATGCTGGAAAATGTTGTGCAAGGAAAATATTTGCTTGGCTGGTTTGAAAGGGAATGCAAGATAACCATTAACACGCAACACACATCCCATGCTTGACATTGGTAAGGAATGCACCCCACGACCACGGGGGCAGGGGCAACTCCGCAACCCAGGTGGGGGTGTGCTCGAGGCTCCCTCTGATCGAGGGCAACATGTGTTCAGGTGCCACATGCTTCAACAACCGGTGAATGCAACGTCCAAGTGTTCCCCAAAGCCTCCCTGCAGGCCTTTGGGCTTTGGGGTCGTAGCATCCCTTGAGCCCGAAACCGCCCCCCCCCCCCCCGCCCCCCCCCACCACAAAAACAGCTGAGCGCCGGGCCGGCGGGTAAAAATCGCTGGACGTCACGGGACGTGGCAACGCCGGCAGAGCTATGCACTACGCAACGTTCGTCGGAAGCGCCCGGGAAAATCTGAGCGCTAGCCCTTGGATCCAGCCTGGCCAATCGTCCACAGGATTTGCCGCATCATGCCTCGTTTTTTCCCCTTGTGTTCGTGGGCTCCGGAGCATTGCAGAGTTTTTAATGAAATTTGGACCTAGGAATGGCACTCGGCAGCATGCTTTCGGGCCAATCGTTCTCTAGTTTTGATGCCGCATGCCGATGAACAGGGGCAACTCTATAGGCAGGGCTGAACATATATGGATGTGCACCCCGCTGTCCCAAACGACAGGTCCCGCAAAGGGAACCTCCATTTATCAATGTATCCCCAAACAGAGCTTTGGGGTGAGGTGACCCTACTGATCAATGCTCTGCATGAACCAACCTCCAACTAAAGGTGGAAATATGTCGGATCAATATGGAGTAGACTCATTGATCCTGGGCGACAAAGAAGGTTGACACTTTAAAGCCACGAACCAACACATAGATCACACCAGCCAAAGGTCAACTTGAGCTTCAAGCGAGTGGGGCGAGTGTTGCTGGACTTCAGCCAAGCTTGGTCCCTCGTCCTTGCAAAATGAAATGAGCTCCTTGCAACTTGCGCCAGGAACTCGTGTGAAGGCTAGGAGGGCCCCACACGGAGTCTGAGCCGCGAAGGATTTCGAGAGATGAAAGTTCAATGCTCGCCACTAGCCCAAAGCAAAACTTGGGTAGGTGAGAGATAGTGGGCGACGTGATGTAGAACTGACAGAAAGCAAGATGTTTGGCCACCGCTGGAAATGATTGATCATAAACAACAAATGCAATTCCTGACGGCTGCGCCGGCTCCCCAATTGCGCGGAAAACGAGCTCCGTGCGGTCCCCCCTTCCCCCCTTTCGACCCGCCGCACGCGTCGTGCCGGACACGACGCGGGCAGGCAGTTGCAAGGGGCGGATGCGGGGCGGATCGCACTGTCTTACGGGCTGCGCCCGTCGACCGGGCCCTTTCTGGGCCTCGCGGCCTTGCGATCTCACTCCCTTATAGTCCAACGTCTCTGCATGCGCCAGGCTGTTCACAAATGCAGCTTAGAGAGGCTAGGCTGGCAGCCGGCCCCCATTCGCGAAAAGCTTCTGGAAGGACCAGGCAGAAGTCAACTGCGACCGCGACTGCAAAGGTCGCGCTCTTTGGAAATCCATTGGAGGGATTTCGCATATTGTCCAAACTTTGCGCAGCCTCACAATTCTCCCCCAATATGGCTTTTCACGCGTGTCTCATAGCTTTGGGTACAAGGTAGGTAAACTGGACAAGGTGTATAAACTGCGACCCTGGCCCTGTCGGAAGACTCGGCACTTTTTGCAGATGGTCAGTGGTCGCCAGGCTGTTCCCCAAAAAACTCCAAAAGTTGTGATTGAAGGAGTCGCTCATCCCTCAAACTCCTTGGGATGGGAAGTACCGTTTGTCGCTTCTTCGTTTCGAATCAGAAAAAGGATCTTTTCCTTCGAAACACAACATAGACAATCATTGCTAGCTGCCTGCAAAGCGTGGCTGTACACTTCCGGCGTCTTTTGGGTTGGTAATCTGGATTGCTACGTTAATTTCCCAAGCAAACACAAGCAACAACCGGTGTACATAAGGTATGTGCAAGCAACAACAGGGGCCACTAGATTCCCCTCCCACTGTTGCAACTTCAGGTTCTAAATAAATGTATGATCCGTAATTCGT